GCCACTGCACTCCAGTCTGGGCGACAGAGTGAGACTCCAACTCAAAAAAAAAAAAGACATGCATGTTTACTGCACCATTATTCATAACAGCAAAAACTGTGCTGTCCACTCAAAGTGGATTGGATTAAAAAAAAAAAATGTGAATGTATACACAATGGAATATTACACAGCCATAAAGAGGGACAAAATTATTAACTTTGCAGCAACTTAGATGGATTTAGAGTCTATCATACTCAGTGATCTATCATAGGAACAAGGAACTGAGTACCACATTCCTCACTCATAAGTGCACTCTGAACATTTATCATAATACTGTAAGAACAGGATTGGCAGTAGCAGGAAACTGCTGTTATGGGCAGGGGGCACATAACATCAATAAGGGTACCTGATCTCAAACCAGGCAAAGTCAGGACCAAAGGGAGCCCCAAACTTAACCTGTACCACTTATGTACCTAATGCTGAATTGTACCCCATATCCTTAAAGTAAAAAAAAATTTCAAATTAAGAAATAAAGAAAGGATAAACTAGAAATTAATTAAAATGTTTACCTATGGATATAGTAAGAAAGAAGTCAAAAGAATAGTGAAGAGAATGAGGCATCAAGTACTTTTTTATATCACTTAAACCTCTGACAATGCAAATGTTTTACATACTCAAAAAATAAAATTAAAAGATTAGAATAAAAGCAAATATTAAAATTAAATACAAATTAAAAACTGTATAACAAATTTACAAGTATGTTTAAAAAACTATGTAACTTTTGAACATGGTTTTCTACACACCCTTAGTGAAGTATATTCTAAGAAAAAAGAGCTGGGAAAAGACCTTAACTTTATTTAGGAGATTTATTGTTGAAAATGTATTGACATGATAATTGTGAAACTACTGGTGTATATGGCTCAGTAGAGTAAATGAGAATAATAATGTTTTGGAAACATGAGTTCTCACACTGGAAGATGAGATATATAAACATGAAATAAAGGAAAGGAAGAACCCTAAGGTATTAAATCTGAATTAGAGATATCAATATAAATGGAAGATGTCAAATGTCCACTGAAAGTACAAAGAAGAACAACCTTCTAGTAGCAACAGGATCCAGCTCTTGGTTTCAAAATGCCCTTACTAAAAGAACCAGAGTTCCTTGAAGAAATAGTAATAACAAGTCTAGGGCAGAATCTGAAGCTAGAACGTACAGTTATGCCACAAAGCAAGAAATTATTAAGGATTATGGGGACATATCAGGACACAAAAGCAGGTTTGAAAAGGTTCCCTCAGGCCGGGCTCGGTGGCTCAGCCTGTAATCCCAGCACTTTGGGAGGCTGAGGCAAGAGGATTGCCTGAGCCTGCAGGTTTGAGACCCACCTGGGCAACTTGGCAAGACCTCATCTCTACAATAAATTAAAAACTAGCCAGGCGTGGTAGCGTGTGCCTGTAGTTCCAGCTACTTGGAAAGCTGAGGTGGAAGGATCGCTGGAGCCCAGCAGGTCGAGGCTGTGGTGGCCAGGAGCATGCCACTGCCCTCCATCCTGGGTGACAAAGTGAGACTCCAACTCAAAAAAAAGAAAAAGGTTCCCCTGGTTAAATTTAGAACAATCTGGGTATGGAAAAAAAAAATGATGATCATGTGTAATAATACATAGAACAAAACACCTGTAAGTCTATAATATAGAAAAAAGAAGGAGAGGGTAACAGGAACTTCCTCATTATAAAAGAACACATCAATAAATATAGAAGAAATGACAGAATTTTAAAAATCACCATTTTGCAACCACTATTACTAATGTAATAGCTCATGCAGGTGAGGAACATCAAAGGATAATAAAACCATTGGGTGAAAGGTTGTTGGAATGTTCACACAGATTACTTCATCACAAAGAGGGAATTGAAAGGCACCCATATAGAGACAGGCAGATATAACTTCAAGGAAATTATCAAGCCTAACATTATCAAGAATGGGGACTGATATTACATAACTTTGATATGACTACAACAGAATGGACAAAACAAAATCTATGTCTTTTCTTGCAAAAATATCTGCCCTGAATCTAGTCATGGGGAAACGATAGACAAATCCAGATAATGGAGCATTCCATCACACCAGCCTGACTTCTCCAAAAATTTCAATGTCATAATAAGTGTAAAGACACTATTTATACAAAAACAACAAAAAAGTGTAGAAGCACTATTCTAGATTAAAACAAACTCAAAACATAACAAATTAATGAATAATCTTTGACTGCCAGGATAAAAAAATCTGTAAAGGTAATACAAATATATATTTGGGCAATATGAATGTGGACTAACTAGACTATATATTAAAATTAATATTATCCTATCAATGTTACATTCTTATGTGTGATAATGATATTGTGGTTGTACAGAAGAATGTACTTGTTCACAAGGGCAAAAGGTTAAAGTACTTAGGGTGAATTATCATAATACCTGCAATTAAAATGGTTCAGGAAATAAAACAAAGAATGGTAAAATATTTTAGGGTCCATAGTTAGAACATAGTTAGAAGAGAACAGTGTTCTGTTCTTCCAACTATTTTGTAGGTCCAAACTTTTTCAAAAGAAAAGGTTGGGGATGAATTAAAAACAATCACATTATATACAACATTCAATAGAGATATGTTTTACAATCTTCACATCCATGTTGCAAAAGTACTTACTTTACTTGAGGTTGTAAGCAGGAAAGTCCTTTGCAGATTTTCCTTTTCAGTCAAACAGAACTGCAGTCTGCCAATCTCTTCTTTAAAATGAGTAATCATGCTTTCTTTGTTCCCATCTAAATTCTTTAAAGTCTGGACCTCTGACACAAGCTTGGTATTTTCTATTTCTGTATTCTTCAAATGTACCTGTAACAGTGTTTAAAAATGCCAAGAATATTCTAAATCCATAACCATGGTCAAAGTTTAAAATACCATTATTTATCTCTAATCCAAAGATAATCAAAGGAAGAAAAGACCCACCAGACAAGGATTCAGGATATCAGGTTTTGCCAACTAATAGCTAAGCATGTAGGAGCAGAACATCACTTTTCTAAGTTTTTAAAATTTTCCCGCAGAAGTTAATGCTAAGGTCTAACTACATTACCTGATCTCTAAAGTCTTTTCCTTTGATTTAATGATTTCAGGTTCTCTTTAAAAGTGCAAAGAGACTTGGCTGTTCTTTTGGGGAAACAAATTATGTTACAGGCATATTCAAATATAAGGTCATGACCAGATTCTGGAAAACAACAACTCAAACAATTTAATATTTTGCATGTGAAAAAGTACTATCTATCTAAAAATTTATTCCACACGTGCCTAAATTTGTTGATTAGTTAACCTAACTATATTAATTATTCCATGAACTTTGGCTGTTGCTGATTTGCACATAACAGATAAACAAATCAAATTCCATAATTGTAATTATAAAGAGTATAAACACCTAGTATCCACTATAAAGTGTATCTTGCTTGGTTAAAAGTAGTGGAGAGAAATGAACTAACATACTTCTTGCACTTGACTCTCTATATGTATGTAAAACTGAAGAACTATTTCCTGTTCACAAGGATAAAATATTAACTCCTGATTCTGTGAAAGCATCAGCAGTCAACACCTTTGCAGCATCACTTTTAAAATACTCTAATTTTCATAATCATCAGCTCATAAAAGTATTTTAACATGAAGCTGACTAAACTCAAAATGCTCTTGAAATTTCTCAACTAGAACTAAATTCAAGAAATACTTATGAGTCACTAATGAAAGAATGTGTCCATTTGTACCCACAACGTTACTGACAATTAACTACCCTATATTTTCAGGACTACTTTAAAAAGAAAGAAAAACTTTAAATGCCAAGATTTGCAGTGAGGATATTTTTGCAAAATGACAGTCTCAGAAGATAACTTTTAAAAAAGCCAAACTCTGAAAACATGATCATCACTGAAATAAATTAATGTTCTTCCAACGTATATGCTTAAAGGGAGAGAACACTTGATTATGTAAATTCTGATAAAAAGTATCTTATTACCATTAAATCTCTTTGACTTATTAAACAGAACCTGCTAAGTATCTAAAATAGCGACAAATTAATTCTCTGAAAACTTTTAGGGGTGATAAACACCATGACTGTCACTTTCTCCTTCTTCCTCCTGAATCACTTACTCCAAGAGAACTTAGCTGCCGTGCTGTGAGAATGTTCAAGCAGCCTATGGAGAGATCACATAGAGAAAAGCTGAAGGGCCTCCTGCCAATAGCCACGTGAGTGAGCCATCTTAAAAGCAGACTCTCCAGTCCCAATCAAGCCATTTAGCTGACTGCAGCCCTTGCCAACCTCCTGATGGCAACTACATAAGAGAACAGAAGCTAGAACCACTCAGCTAAGTTGCTCCCAAATTCATGACCCACAGCCCCTGTTTTGGGTAACCTGTTATGAAGCAGCAGACAACTATAGAAATGGAAAGAATAAATTACCTTATAAAGTTCCTTCTCATCCTTTTCCGTCTTCAATTGACATTCAAGTTGTTCTCTTTCATGTTGTGCCTTCCTGAGTTTGTCCTTCAAACTGAGTTCAGATAAAGTAACATTAATGTAGACCAAAGCAACTTTAAAACATTCAAGTTATTTTTAAAAGCATCAGAAATACCTGTCTAATTCAGTTTCTTTTTCAATGGCTTTATGAGTCACTGATACAATATCTTCCTCAAGCTGGAGAGCTTTGGATGTGGCATCATTATACCTCTTCTTAAGCTCTTCATTTTCTGTTTTTAAACTCTGTGATACTTCAGCAAGACCCTGAGAAAGAAAAACAAGGTATACCAAGAAACATAAAAACATAATCATTAAGGCAAATTTGTCTATTTTTAAGAAATTATGTATTCATAAGATTTTAATACATTTGTCCCTTCCAAAACTTATAAGGTATGAATATTCGAACATATGTTTAAATTTTCATATACTAAATTAATCAATTATTAATTTATATAGTTTTTCCCCCTTCAGACTTTTCCTGTATGCTGTTTGTAGATTTTACTAACTTCTCCACCAGGGGGCAGGCCACAAAAATGTGGAAAAAAATTAAAAATTAGTCACTTTTCTTTTTCTCACCCACTTCTTGCATAGATCACTAAATGCCATCAAAGAGCAAATAAACACCTACAGCAATGTTCCTAATGTTCTTGCCAATGTGACTCAGAAACCTAAACAAATGTTTAAAGATACGAAAACAAATACAAAAGAGGCAGTAACAAATTAAATGTATTTCTACTTAAAATAGAATATTCTACTTTAAACAGATAATTTACAAGTTTTAAAACTGTTTATCACATCAATTAAGAAAAGTAACTCATAAGAACCTGATTAAGGGCCACCTCTTTAAATCTGTTTTAAAATAAGTTAAATGGAGATAATATCTTTTTGTCTATTTATAAAATTTTAAGACTCAAAAGTAACAATGTATACATGAAGATAGTCTGCTGTGAAAAAATATATAACAAAAGAATTAGTAAATTAAGATCCCCAGAACAATAATACCTATCCAAAATAACAACAAAAACTTTAAAAATTACCATTCTGCCAAGTTAAAAGTGTCAATTATATAGTACTTTGTTTTGTTTTTTTGAGTTGTAGTCTCTGTTGCCCAGACTGGAGTGCAGTGGCACGCTCCCAGCCACTGGAACCTCGAGCTGCTGGGCTCCAGCGATCCTTCCGCCTCAGCCTTCCAAAGAGCTGGAACTACAGGTGCACGCTACCACGCCCAACTAATTTTTTGATTTATTGTAGAGATGAGGTCTCACCAAGTTGCCCAGGCAGGTCTCGAACCCGCGAGTTGAGGCAATTCACTCACCTCAGCCTCCCAAAGCTCGAGATTACAGGCTGAGCCATCGAGTCCGACAATTATATAGTACTTATGTCACTTTAATTTGCATAAAGTAACTCACCTAAATATTTCACTTATAGATAGGATATCATTTTAAATATTTTGCTAGAATAGGATAATTGCTACATTGTATTACAATAGTGGTTAGATATACTCTATAGTTTTTATTTTTGCTCAAAGCAAATGTTTGTCAGTCTGAATCTGCCAACACTAAACAAAAATTGCTATACAAAACTAAATGCTTTTTGGTTCCAATACCACAATACCGGAGGAAGCAAATAATAGGTATTCCCTCTGCAATAAATGTTGTCAATACACAATGATTCCTCTAAACTTGGATACATTTTCAGTGTTTGTCTTGTTGATTTAAAAAGATAGCCAGAGAGGTTTCTAAATAGGTTTTTTTTTTTAATTTTTATTTTCAGTTTTACCAAATGCTTTCTTGGCACTGCAAATAGGCTACAGACTTAATCTAAGTATTTCTCCCTAGGTTTTCCGATTTTGTAAGTAATGAAACTCTATATTGGGTAAACAGCATTTCAGGCAATGCATAGGAAAAGAATTAGAAAAAAATCATCAGCAACTGAATGCAAAACACGAACTAATAGCTTTATCTATGAGTAGGTTAACGTGATAATGAATTGCAAATTCGTTCTTACTATAACTTAAGAGTCTTAGAATCTTTCTTTGGTATCCATAAAGGTACCTGATAGCTTTCCCATTCCAAGCTTATTTCCAAAAGATATGAAAATTATAAAATAGGGATTGTTCTTCAGGCTTCCAGTTTTCATATCTGAGCTAAGCATAAGCACCATCAATGTGGCTCCATTTTTCTCAATATGAAAAGGCTAAGGATTCTGGTGCCATTTCAAACAACTAAGAATCATACTTTCTTTTAAAATGTAACTTTAAAATAGTAAAATAAATCTTGTCAGAGGGACCTAATAATTCAAATATAAAACAAAAAACCTGCCTCATTGTATACCAAGACAGAAACAATCACAAAAATTGGGGCAAAGAGATTTCGGTATTTCAGATTCATGCAGGGGACATACCCCCTCACCAAATGAGAAATCACTATTAACATGAGCCACTATTACCAATTCTCACAAGTCATAACCCTCAGATATGAATAACCAGATAATATTATGAACCACTCATCCATGTCGCTAAACACACACTAAAAGTATTTGAAGTACCAGAATACATTTATTCACATATTTCTTTAAAAAGACAAAATCAGCTCTGATTATAAATGAAAATGTAAGAAGAAACCAGATACAGTATCACTGACAATTATCTAAAAGAAACTATGGTATTCTGGATTCATAATGTATCCATGATACAATTTAGTAAATTAGTACCAATACTTTAAATAACAAATTATTGGCAGAAGAATTATTCATAAAACTTGCTAGACTTTAAATTAAATCTCATTCATTTAATTTAATCTGGCTTTTCTCAAACACCCTGCTTCTTGAAATCAACTAAAGTAACAAGTTATGTAGATAGCTACACAGACTATAAATGTGTCTTCTCTAGTTTCTAGAAATCAACCAGATGAAAATATAACAATATTCAATAATAAATTATGGTCATGGCATTAAAATAATAGGCAAAATTAATGAATTAAAAGGCAAAATAATTAAAAGCAATAATTAGGCAAATATATTTTTTAATAGAAAAACGTTTACAGAATGTGGATATAAAGAAAGAAAACATTTTTGTACAGCTGTACAATGTGTTTGTGTTTGAAGCTAAGTGCTAATACAAAAAAGTCTAAAAGTTTTAAAAAAATGTTTGAAGTTTACAAAGTAAAAAAATCACAGTAAGGGCTGGGCATGGTAGCTCACACCTGTAATCCCAGCACTTTGGGAGGCCAAGGCAAGAAGACTGCTTGAACTCTGGGTAACTTGGTGAGGCCTCGGCTCTACAATAAATCACAAAATTAGCCAGCCATGGTAAATTTATTATTAAAGAAAAAATATTTTTTATAAATTTAGAGCAGCCAAAGTATACAGAAGTATACAGAAATGTCCTAGGCTTTCGCATTCACTCATCAGCTCACCTAGAGCACTTCTAGTTCTGCAAGTTCTATTAATGGTAAGTGCCCTCTATACAAGTGTACCACTGTTTATGTTTCATACCATATTTTTACTGTACTTTTTCTAAGATGTCTAGATATGTTTAGATACACAAATGCTTACCATTGTGTTACAACTGCCTAGAGTATTCAGTACAGTAACATGCTGTATTTGTAGCCTGAGAGCAATAGGCCATACCACGTAGCCTAGGTGTGCAGTAAGGCTATATGATCTGGTTTGTATAAGTGTACTCTATGATGTTCACACAACAAAATCACTTATCTGTGCTACCAAATATAATGAGGGTTATCTTATACTCATTAAAAAATATGCTATGACAAATGTACTTAAATTATATTTTTATAAGAAAATAACAGAGCTAAGCATTAATTTGTTTTGGTTGAAGAGGAGAGGGAAGTTGGGCTATAAATTACCTAATGTCTGAATTGTTTTCTGAATATGAATATATTCCATAGCCAAGTGATTTTTTAACATTAGGTCTCACATACATTTTTAAAGAGGCAAGGAATAAGTAAAAAAATTTAAGGTAGTATAATTTTACTTACATTAAGTTGTTTTTTATTTTAATGAAATTGAATGGGAACTATTCGATGATACAGTCTTATGAAATAAACTATAAAAATGCTTCATCTTATAGTTCAGTATGAATCAACACAAAAATTACAGATTAATTAAAAAGCATATAAATATATTTTAGAGCAATATATTATGAATTTTCTAAGACTATCACTTAGCAAAGCAGGTACAAAATTACAGTAATTGGTTTAAAGAAATATATTGCTATATACACATAGGTTATAATCACCTCTATGTATCAAAATTAAGCATTAATTAATTAATTAAGGGAAACAAATTCAATAAGATCATAACCTCAAAAATTATTTTTGGCAATCCCATATATTAGATACTAAATACCTTAAACTGCTTGTGTTCAAAACCAGATTCCAAATGCACTGATAACATTAACAGCTCTCTTGAGAACTACTGTAATGGAAATGGTATGTTATGTGCTTTATACACATTCTCATTTGATCTGCACATGGCCTAAGAATTAGGAACAAGTAGGATGCTCGTTTACATATAAGAAAATTGAGCCACAGAGAAGTTAAGTGATTTACCAAAGGTTACACAGCCAGTAAACGGTAGAGTTGAGAATGATTTCAACTTTCCTATTCTCAAATAAAAAGTTTTCCAAGTAACTGAACATTTAATTTTAACAATCAAGGTACTAAAACTTTGGTAATTTGATTTTTATCTACTCTTGATATGACCTTTCTTAACATGGTACATAGACTAAGTTATAAGAGTATCAAAGACATTTTCCAGATCTCATTCACAAACTGCTAAAGTCAAAGCCTACTACGTTGGTGTTGTGGTCAAGACTGCTGGTTGTCTGCCAAATTATGATCTTCTTTCAGCCATAGTAATGCATATGGCTGCCCAACTATACTTGGTTTCTCTTGTAATTAACTACAGTCATCTAAATTCTCATCCATGAAATATAAATGAATATATATTACTATATAGAAATAATATATATTCCACGTCTATAACTTAAATTACTGACCACACCTTGTCAAAGATCTTTCCCCTTTTCAGTCAGCTGAAATCAGAATATGCCAGAGATCAAGTTTCTATCACAAAGACATAAATTCTCTAGGAGTCTAAGGAGTGGGCAGTGAAATGATAGGAAAGGTAACTAGGTCCCTTAACCATCATGTAAAGCAAATCTACCCCCACGCACTTAAAATGACTTAAAAACAGACTATTAAAAAAAAAAAAAAAAAACTCAGTTCCATACTATTGAGTCT